GACATTGTGGCAGCGCGGGGGTTGGGGAGTGGATGGGAGTGGAGTTGAGGAAGAAATGTCCCAACTGCAAAGCAGCACAAGCGACCAGCGGGCGACCAGCAGCCGGTTCGAGCGGCTAGTAGGTTTGTGAATAAAATGACAAAGGTTCAGGGGCTCGGTGGTGGGGGAGGGTGCTTGAAAAATGGTCAACGCTGCACTTTGAGAGGGGAATGTTGACACCTTTCAGAGGGGATGGCAATTCTGTTTCGCATCCAGAAGATATGCTTTCTTTAGGAGAGTGATAAACAATTCCATAAAACAGTAACAACGTTAAAAAAAAAATACCTACAGGGAAACTACTGTATTCTCAGTTGCCTGTTGAAGATAAGAGAACAGAACCTTGGTCTTTGCTAAAATCCATCCACTCAAGTATGTCTAACATGTTTCATCCTCTGTGCCCGGGACCGGTTTCCCAGGACCCAGATTTTGTTACTGGGCCAAGGAAGTGGCCACCGAAATTTTGCTAGACAAGTGGTTCTTGCAGGAAATTCAGGAAGGAAATCCCAGAAGAAGAAAAAAACAAAAAAAAGAAAAATCGAGGGGGGGTGCTGGAGATCCAGACTTTTTATACACTGTCTCATTCCTCTGCATAACCTAGCGGCCAATATGTCTGTGTTTGAAGTCAAGTTCTCAGAAATAAGGGCCTCTTTGATTTATGAGCTTCAGTCCTCTCTGGGGAAGTGTCTGGGGCTGAGAGGTCCCTTTTCTGTGGCCTCAGTGCTGAGGGCATGTCCTGGACCAGGTCCTCTGTTCACTCACCCAGAGACTGAAACAGATGATGATGTGGCCTTTGCACCATGGCCCTGATCCTCCTGGGCTGTGGCTGCAACTTTTCCTTGAAAGTTCTCTTCATTTTCCTACAGAGACACACAGAAAGACTTTTAACTACCCACCACATTCTGCTCTCTTGGCAAATCGCCTTCTCACTTTTGAGACCCACCACTTGCCAAGTAATGTTCCTTCCCTAATGGAGACCCACCAGGCTTTTCTTTCTGAGAAACACCAACAGATGGGGAAAGTTCAGCTTCTCCAAGGAAGGTCATGCACACATATGGTCAGGTTTCAAGACATGATCATTTTGAAAGGGAGTGGTTATAAACTGATCGATTTCATAAAGTTAAATGGGCTGGCCCGGAAGAGGGTGCTTGCCACAGTCCTTCTAAGTTAGCATCCAAATAGAGGCCACATATAGAACATAAGGTAGAACTCATACTTTTTGAACCCAGTTAAGGTGACATTGGCTTCCTTGCCCTTGCACCTTATCACAATGAATGGTTAGGAAAGATTCCCAGAACCCTTAAAAGAATTGGAGGAGGGCACTTTCTCTGATTCTGTCCGCATGCTCGTGGTTCTGTATAGAAAATTATAAAACTCCAGATGCTCCAGGACTCTTCCATTAATTCATGTGCAGTATTAGCATCCTTAAGGTTGTTTTTCTACGGCTGTAACAGGTGAGGTTACAGAAATAACTGGAATAAAATAGCGCTTCTGACCCACTCTGTGTTATGTAATTTTATTTTAAAGAAGTTACTTAAATTTATTTACGTAGTTATGTAAAGCTGTTTTTTTCCATTTTATTAAATCAACAATCTACACATCATAGCATTAGTTTACCAAAACTTGTATTAATAAATAATTTGCTGCCAAATATTGAAATATCTTTAAAAGTCATCTGCCATTCTCCAACGTGAAACTTGTTTCAACCAACATTGGAAGCCGTATTTCCCTTCAACAGCCTGTAAATATATCATGAGTAGAAAATCTTCATAATAAAGAAGAGAGTTAAAATCATTAAAACCTTATATTTAAACCAGACAGGATATCTTATGAACATGACGCGAGAAATAAAAGTTGGTCTTCTTAGAAGCATGAATACATTGTATTGTCAGATATCTCACGAATATTAGCCTCTTGTGGGTGAGAATTATCAGAGCACTTCATTATTCAACCAATTTTCATCAGTACTTACAGATGCGTGGTCATTGTCTACGTTGTTTCATTTTAAATGATAGTCGTGCTCCGGGAACAATGTGTTATTATTATCTCTGTTGGGGGAAATGTGAGGCGAATAGAAATAACTCCACGATCCACCAGTCTATGCTAAAATTTAGAAAAACTCTCTTTTCCTCCTGATTAATGTTAGTTGACAGTGGCTTACAAAAATAACATCAAGATTTTGTAAACAATCAGCAGCCTAATTAGTAGCTAGGGTTCTGTAGATCGGCACAAACAAAAAGAACTTTTATAAAGATGCATCCTGAGATAGAAAGATACATCGCCATCGTCCTGAGTTATGCGCAGAGTATGCTCACTGTTAGTCTGGGGAGAAAACCACCTGTAGTGGAAAAAGGAATTTAGCCCTATGATGTAAATTAAGCTGGAGAAAATGTCTATATTTTATGAAAAAAACCTCCATTAAGGAATACAAAGTTTCACTTAAAGTTACTAAATGAGAAGGATAGGGGACGATTGCTTATGTGGCCATACCATTTTTGTATTCTTAATTATATAACTCAATAGCATCACCTTCATTTATTTCCTTTGCTTATTTAGGGCATGTCATATTATGATGATGATTTAGTTGAGTGTTATTAGGTGATTTTTAGAAGATAATAAAAACCAACATTTTCTTGTTGAAAATAACCCTGAATGTTAGGCTAGGACAGGACTTATGTCTGACTCATGAAATAATTCTGAAGAGTGAAACAAGCTTCTGTGCGTGGAAATGAATGCTGAATGAAAAATCCTGGGTTTTTTAAGATATATATAATAGCAAAGTCATGTAACCTTCTTTCCTTGACTGTCCAGCCTCTTTTATACTCAACATGTATAAGGAAACATCCCACACATTTTCATTTCCTTTTGTAAGACAAGAACAAAAATGTGAAATAGCTCTTTCCCCCAGTTTTAGGGCAGGCTGAGTTGCAAAAAAAATTTTAAGAAAGGAGTGATAATGCAACCACATTTTTGCCAAGCAGTGATGGTTATGATCGTTTAAAAACACCAAGGGGAAATGCAGTCGACGCTTTTTAGTAAATGTAACATTTGAAATAAAAATCTTCAAAAATAGGTTTCTAATCGACGTACATAGCTAATTTTTCAATATATCTCTCGTGGAAATCAAGGCTTTCTTGTAGTTATGACTGGCTGTGCGCAATGCATGCCTTCGCCACAGCCACAGTTCTTCTAGAAGGATACCTTCTCACGGAGGCCAAGGAAAGGAGAACTAGTTGGAAATGATACAAAGTAGAAACATTCCGAGGGGCGCTGAGAGCGGTCTTAACTCCGTGGTTTGCCCAGCGCCAGCCTTTGGCAAAGGAACAGACAGGGAAGGGAAAGCACTGACCAGTAAGGATTGTCCTATATGCATAGGATACAAATTTGAATATTTTATCAAACAGATGTTTGATTTTAGGTTTCACTTAGATACCATAAGGTGGGTGACATGTTTGGCATTACAGGAACCAGACATTCCCACAAGGTCAGAGTATGAGAACTGAGTAATATCTGAGTAATAATTGAGTAATAACTGAGTTAGCATCAAAGAGGACTCAGTTAAAATTATTTTAATTTGGGGGCGCCTGGGTGGCTCAGTCAGTTTAGCAACTGACTTGGCTCAGGTCATGATCTCATGGTTCGTGGGTTCGAGCCCCGTGTCGGGCTCCGTGCTGACAGCTCGGAGCCTGGAGCCTGCTTCAGATTCTGTTTCTCCCTCTCTCTCTGTTCCTCCCCTGCTC